GAGGGGAGAGGGCGAGGGAATCGGGGGCACATTGCGCACAGCACAGTCGCCTGACCTGGGAGGCTTATCTCTCCCCCATCTATTCGCCCTGCCAATGGAAGTTATCGCTCTTGCTAAATGTCCTCAATTTTTAAAATTTCTTGCTTAACATTTCCTCATAATACCTTGCATGTCTTCTCGCCTTTATATTTTGGTCGACAGTGCGGAGGACTGACACCAAACCACTAAAGGGAAGGAGACCAGGCAACAGGAGACCAATTGTGTAGACTTTATACTATTCTGCAAAAATGGTCTCGATTATCTGCTCTATCACCCAACAGCGCACCAACTCTTCAGACTTATCTGCAGTTTGGCTCCTTTACACCCTTCCTTTTAGTTAAGTGTCTGTGATGAAGCAGGTTGCCCACAGATCTGTGATAAAGCTAGTCCCACGGGGAAAGCAGAGGAGATAAAGTTGCGTGTAAATGAGTCACAACACAGTTGTAATATACACACGTTTTTTTTAATTAGGAAAACAAAACCGGTATCCAATGGACCTTCGAGGCGCTGACAATCCTACGACATACGAAAAGGTGATTGGATTATCACCAATGCTCCAAGGAGATGCCCGATTGGCCCATTCAATCAAATTTTGGTCATCACTTCTAAAACAAAAAAAAAATCGAAAATGCTTTAAACCATCTTTATTTAAGGAAAATATTGGGAGGAGATTAATTTTTTTTGCTGACACAGAGAGGGTGGTTAAGGCCTCTTTTCTTTAGTTGGGAGGAGCGATTTTGAGGTGGGTGTATCTCGGAGGCATAAAAGTTTTACAAGGAGGATTGCATATTAACGAGGACCCTAAAGTTAGACGATTACACAAACGTCTGTGGTAGGCAAGAGGGTTTCATTGCCGTTCCTCTTATCCCGAAATTCCTCTATAACAATCAGGCAATTAAAATGAGGCATGACACTTCATTTGCAAAGAAGGCAATTGTGAGAAGCTAAAAAATCTTGGAGGAGTATAAGTACATCAGATTTGCAATATTTCTTCCTCAATTGTTGATTTGTTTTACCCTAAACAGGTGTTATTCAGATACGGATAAGAAGGTCTCCAAGGAAAGGCATCACTTTAGTTGCAATTGATAAAAAAGACACAAAAAATCCTTCTTTTACGGGTTCAGTTTTCAAAGAAAATACAAAATTCTTTCCTTCCTTACTTGCGATACCTTTTATAGGGCAAAATATTGTTTGAATGCACCGAAGCAAACATTCTCGAGGAGGTGATTTACGACATCGCAATGTCCCCTGGTAAGGAAATGAAAAAGTGAATTTGCAAACCGAAAACTCTTGACTGCAGTCAAATTAGACAGGTGGTTACGAAAACTACCATGCATGGGCCAGAATAAAACATGAATGACTGTGTTTAAGTGAATTCGAGCGCGAAAGGAATGAAGTAGCGCGTCAAGGTCATTTTAATCACGACCACCTGTCACCCGTCTATCACCTCCCTTGTCTCTCAACCCAGAGCGATTGGCAATAGCGCTTTGAGGGAGGCATTTGTTCTTACTTAACTATTTGGCCCCAAATATTTTATTACCATCCATTTGAGCGAATCAGCTATTTGTAGACAATGCTGGATGAGAAAATCGGTTGTAAGAAGGAAGGAGTTTTTTCCAATCTAATTGCTGTCTCATTTTTTTTTGCTAGATAGGACTCGCAGTGTTTAAGGCCTTAGAGATTTCAAAGTCTAGTCTAGTCTGCTTTATTCGTGTGGCTAACTGACAGCTAGAAGGGGACAAAACTGGAGACCAGAGCATCATTTAACGGGGCGGACTGGACGTGTGACTTCGCAATCAACCAAGCCAAATCATTCTGCTGTTGCTTCAGACAGTAGAACGATGGTGTCTCGTGGAGGGGAAAGGTGTGACAAAAGAAACTACGAAGGAAAAACCCCTATTATGCCTAATCACTAACATTACGCGATGACTTGTAATCGAAAGCTGTCAATCAATCAGTCAATCAATTAATCGAAGTAAACAAATAAATTGTGGTTTGCTCTGACTTATCGAAAATGTCGCTGTGTTTGTTGCCGGTTAGAGTAAAGCAAAGTCATTTTAGGCATTTTAATGGACCTCAATGACTTACGATTGGCCGTTGTGTCTGTGTGCTCCTTTATTCCCACATTTTACAACCAGTAAAAATTTAAGGAGTAATGGACGGTCTAATCTTGAGAATCAAATCACAACATTCAGACTCCTTTCTCGGCTCTAAATCTCCCATTTAAAGGCACAAACTTATATTTTACACAGGAAGGTAAAAGTTGATTTTGCGTGTCGGAAAATCTGATGGGAAAATGAAATGCCAAGTGAAATTATTCACGCATCGGATTGATCCACATTCAAATGCACGCGCTACTCAATCGCCCACTTAAGGGGTCAAAAGGTCACACACACACAGACGCACCCGAGCGCACAGATGTGCATGATGGTCTCAATTCCAAATGTGCTAAAATTCCTTCGGAAATGCCACTTGTAAAGACCTCATTTAAATGGGGGAGAAAACTGTGTTCATCTGTCTAATCACCACTGCTTTGATATAAAATTAAAATTTATGACTTTTAAATTAAATTCTCTTGAATAATCATTCCCATGTGTCTTTCTGCTTCAACTAACTCAACAAAATAATTATCTCCCCAAAACTAATCGAGGATTGTAGAGAGTAAAATTTTACAACAAAACTACTCCACCCCAACAGACCGACAAGGCTAAAAGCCCTTCTAAGCGCCTGATACATCTTTATTCGTCATGGTCAATGTAACCGCCTTTTGTTTTCTACCCTTTGCCCTCCTCCTCCTCCTCCTCCTCTGCCAAACCAACGCCAGTGAAGACAAAGTGACAAATTTGTAGCAACAATCTTGACGAGAATAACAAAAGAAAGCTGTAACACTGGTTGACAATGAACCCTACTACACTTCCACCACCTTCACAATAGCTGGTGGTTTTGAAGACCTTAAAATGCCTCTGAGGGTTTTAAGTGGATAGGCCTTAAGGGGGCGTCCACCCACCAGCCTGGACACTCGTGGCACGGACAGTGGCAGTCAAAGGAGGCTAAGGAGAGGCCTGACCTTATAAGTCAGCAATGTTTACAGTCATGTTAAAAGCTTGTTATGTACTTACTTAACCTCTCAAATAATAATGGCTCAGGAGGTGGTATGAGTTTCTTTTTTTCTTTTTTTCCTTCAAATTTACCCTTTAAAGTGATGCTTGAGGCTCTTCAAGACCGGTTTTGACATCTTATTTAGAATGAATTTTAAATCACACACACAGATGAGATAAAAATGGGAGATTTACTATTTCACAGAAGGTCATAAACACTCCGTAGCATTACAAAGTTTCAGGGGAGGCGGGGTGGGAGAGGATGGAGAAGGATTAAAATTTTCAGTAAAGTGATGTTTTTTGTTTCATGAGGAAGGCTAGGTGACATGGTGAGGTGTTGCTTGACCTACTGGAATGTGGAGGTGAAGCAAACACCCTCGAGAGGCATTAAAATCACTTACTCATTCACCTAGCATTTGCGGATGCACCTGTCGTCCATAGGGCAGGTTGGCAGTTCCAAAGCTGGCAATAATTAGCCTCTTGATAGCCGCTTGATTGGGATGAAATCGACCACAGGAGATGAGGTGGAGGACTTTGGCTCGACACGCTGACGACCAGAATGTTAATATCACAGGATTAATGAGAGCATTGGTGCATGTCAACCAGTAGAGATAGGCATGCACCTCGTTTGAAAGGTCCAGTCGTGACCACAGAGCTTTTAAAGCCTGTAGAATGTGATATGGAAGGCTGAAAATGAGGAACGCAAAGAGGAGGATTGTGAAGGGAATCATTGAACCGAGGTCTTTTAACCTTTTGTGATGAAATTTGAATCTAAAACTGGGGGTGTGCGATCGTGTTGACCGCCACCATGCGACCTTCTGATTGGATTGTGACTCCGTGCTGGTGTTCTCACTGTCAGGGGTTATGGATGCATCTGAGTTTGGTGGTTTGCGCACAGTACTCGTGCTGGAGTTGGTCTCTTTGAACGTCTCCTGCAGTTTTGAGGGAGTAGTTCCACTGTTAATGCGTGACAATGACCGACCCGAATCAAGAGGATTCTCTGCGGAGTGAGATCCAACAAGACTTAGGTTGGGAAGGACAGCAGTACGGCGACTTAATGATCTATGCGTGCCTGGAAGTTGGGCGAATAAGTCTTTTGTTCCCTCGGTCATATAATTTCCCCGATGAATCCGCATTACAGTAATTTTATTCGGTGCGAGACTGTGAGGGCGGTGTATGCTGTTAGGCATTTTGGGTGGAGTCGCCTCATTGTTTGTTTGTATATCCGGCTCCTTAACTTTCAAGACGCCATTCCGAAATCCTGCATTTGACTCTACAGCCACTCGAAAAGCCAGAATGTTTACCACAATTGTTAACGCAAGGGGAAACACAAAGCGGAAGAAAAACATGAATACAAGTAATCCACGGAGAGCAGGAGAGGTAGTGTAAGTCCAATCGTGGGGTTGGAGGGACGTTTCTGTGGCATTTGGGGATCGTTGAACAAGTTCCATTGAGAAGATGGCTAATTGAGGCAGAGGCATAAATACCGCCAAGCCCCACGACAGCATCAGACTCAATCGAGCTCGTGAAAAAGCAAGTAGATCTGGGTAACGTATGGGATGGCAGATGGCAAGATACCTGTCCAATGCCACAAGTACGAGTGCAAGAACACGAGCATTAACCAATAATCCGCCAACCGTAAGCCAGTAAAGGTAAAAGAACTTGGCATAGGCGTAGGCATTGTTGGATATCTCGACCACAGTGAGCGCGGGTACAATACAAAGTCCGGTGAGAAGATCAACTACAGCAACATTAAATAAGAAAATTCGAGTCTGTCTGGCGAGATACTTCTTGGAGTGCAGTAGGGCAACAATGATGATTAAATTTTCGAAAATGATGCTTGATGTGATAATCACACCGACGGAGCACTTTAGGAGTCGGGGTAGGTCGTTGGAGAGAGTTACTTCTGTACCGTTTGTACTCATGCCTTACATGGATAGGCAAAAGTATGCCCTAAATCATTAGTCTGTGTAGCTCTGTGTATGTGTGTGTGCGTGTGTGTGTGAGTGGGAGTTAGGTAACCACTAAATGACGCGAATTGCCCATCAAACGATTACACAGGGCAACACAGCGAATCAGACAGAGCGCGCCTAATCATCCAATCAGCAACAACCTTATCAGGACCCTCTTCTTAAGTTCATATTTTACCACTATTTCTTATTCCTTCGATACCTTTGCAGCAACAAACACGCCTACCTGGGTAGCACTTCACCATGCGAATTTTCTCTTTCAGCTTATGCATAAATCATACTGCCTTAAAGACACATTTGTAGTCATGGTTACGAAAAGAATTTTTATGTTACAGTCCAGGTTAACAGATTTTTGTGCTCTGTGGCAATGGCAAGTGGGCTAAAATTGAAGGTAATATTGAAGCTGTGACCAAAACCATAATTCATTTCTAAAAATGCTATAATTTTGCCAACCTACTGCTCTGCGATTTCAGTAGTATGCATCAAATGCAAAATTATTTGATTTATCAGTCCATTTGAAACAAAATCCAACTTTCGATCAAATGTCCGTCGTTTTTCCCTCAAAATTAACGCCGATTAGTATCCTCTATCTTCGAGTGAAATCAGTTTTGATGCGTTTTACTAAACCTTGAAGATGCTTAAATTGACTCCGAACTCACAAAATTCTTCATGTATTCATTGAATTTCGCGCTTTATTTCCTCATTTAATAATGGAGAGGCAACTTTAGGAGGATAATT